GGTACCGGGTCCGGTCGGGTCGTCGTCGTCGTGCGGTCGCGCGTCGTCGCGTCGTCGTCGTCGTCGTCGCGCGNGNGNGNGNGNGGGTGNGNGNGNGCGGGGGGGGGGGGGGGCTCGATGTGCACACGGTGGCTGGTGGTGGCGGTGATCGTGGCTGTAGCAGGATGGAGTGCGGAGACAGGAGTGCGACGCGATCAGGGCTAGGCAGGATTGAAGCCGTAGGATGACTGTTGGGTCCGGCGGCGGTGGTGGTCGAAGCTGGGTCGTGGGTCCGCAAGCGGCAAAGGGAGGCAGCCCGCCGGGGCCAAAAAGCCAAGGTCTTCCGTGTCTCTCCCGTGGGTCGGGGTCGGGGTGGCGCCGCTTTCCAGGCCCGACGTGCATGGCTGAACCCTGAGCCTTGGACCCCAACATTAAGTTTGGATTTCCACACCCGACTTCCGAAATTTGCCTCTTGGCCCCCTCACCACCGCTCGCCCGCCCGCCCGCCTCGAGGCAGGCCAGCTCCACATGATTTGCAACACTCTCCTTGGTTTGCCTTTCTCCTCATCCAACAACGGATCGGCTCCCTATCCTCCTTGCTCCCTCCTCACCGCCTGCCCGCAGCCACTCGAACCAACATCTCCAAAGGCCACCTCCTACCGCTCACACCACGGCCCAGTCAACCGGGATGGCCACAATCTACGTCACAGAGCCCCCCACCGACGGCAGGATCCTCCTCGTCACCTCAAAGGGCGACATCGAAATCGAGCTATGGGCAAAGGAAGCCCCAAAGGCATGCCGCAACATCATCGCACTCGCCCTAGAGGGCTACTATGACAACTGCATCTTCCACCGCGTCGTGCCCGGATTCTGCATCCAGACCGGAGACCCGTCGGGAACGGGAATGGGAGGTGAGCAGCGCCAGCAGACTCGGCGCCCCTTTATGCTAGGCTTCCTGCGCGTTGGCCCGCTCACCCTCGCGGTGCCCTCAATTCCCCCTCTGTACCCCCTAATTTGACCGCCAGGCGAGTCTTTCTACGGCGAGCCATTCGAGAACGAGCCCCACCAGCGTCTCAAGTTCACCAAGCGCGGCATGGTCGCCATGGCCAACACGGGCGAGTTTGCGACAAACGAGAGCCAGTTCTTCGTGGGTGTCCGGGCCTCGGGGGCGGCAAGATGCACGAGCCGCGCCGCTGATTGGCATCCTCCCTGCACCGAAAATGCACCCATACCAGATCACGCTCGACGCCACGCCAGAGCTGCAGGGCAAGTTCACCGTCTTTGGCCGTGTCGCCGGGCAGACCATCTACAACGCCCTCGCCATTGCCGAGGTCGAGCTCAGAAAGGACGAACCGGACCGACCTGTCTATCCGCCCAAGCTGCTGCGCGTCGATGTGCTCCAGAACCCCTTCGACGACATCGTGCCGAGAATCACGAGGGACGAAAAGCGGCAGCAGATGAAGGCCAAAAGGGAGGCCGCAGAGAGAAAGGCAAAGGAGAGGGAAAAGAAGAGCGTCAAAAAGTGAGCGTCGTTCCGGCGAAGCCGAGGGATCGTCATAGGTACTCTCTTGACTGACCCTGCTCCTCTCAACGAAAACCCCCGGAACGGCCGCAGGAACACTGCCCTGCTCAGCTTTGGCGAGGCCGAGGAGACGACGGGAGAGCAGCTCAAGGGCCCCAAGAGCAGCCACGACCTGCTGAGCGACAAGAAGCTGTCCAAGCAGCCCGCGGTACCCCTGTCCGAGAGCGGAGCCTCGCCCGGCGTCACATCCGCCATCTCTTCACCGGCACCCGCTCAAGGTACATCCACAACTCATGCCGACGACCAGGTGGGCGGCGACGATCCAAGCCGGCCCAAGAAGCGCAGCAAGCACAAGGACGCCGAAGCGGCCGCCGAAGACCTGGCATCGCTACGTGCCAACACCCGCGCAAAGGAGACGGCGGCAGACCAGATCCGAACGCTGGAGGCCAGCATCCGCGGCCTGACAAAGCAGGCCTCGAAAGCGGGCGGCGGCGGCGAGTCGCGCGAGGCCGAGAAAAAAGTTCGGCGCGGTCGGCAGCTGCTCGAGGAGGCCCGCGCAAAGTATCTGCAGGCAACCAAGGCTGAGTCGAGCTCGAGGTCCAAACTCGGAGCTAGGGCTGGAGCCGGGGCCGCTGGCGACGACGACGAGACTCTGCGCATGCTGGCCAAGTTCCAGAGTCGGATGCGGGACGGGGAGGGGCGAAGCGAAAAGAAGCAGAGAGACGACGATCAGCCGAGAGATGTCAAGGTGCGGGAGGACGAGGCGGAGATCGAGGACGAGGACGAGAAAGAGGGGAGGGAGTACGGAGCCAGCGACGACGACGATGGCGATGCGGGATGGCGCAACCACCGGTACGTCTCGTTCCTTCCCCTCGACCCCCTTATTCCCCTCGCTCCCTTGTCCGGACGCAACAAGACCGCCTCTTCGTACCTCTCCGTGTCTAGGGGCTGACCATGTCGACTCACCGTCATTCTCACATCTCACCCTTTCCCCCTCTGGATCAGCCTGGATGCTGGTGGCATCCCGCTCTCGGGACGGCAGGACAAATTCACAGTCGACGACTACGAGGTGCTTGATCCGCGCAACGAACCAAAGGCCTCGCACCAAGACGACCGTCGACAGCAGGGCAAGCGAGGACGAGACTGGGTCGAAGAGCGGAACTGGTCCCACCGCAGCAGAAACGGCGGCAACGGTGGGGCCTCGTCGTCCTACCATGGCCGGAGACCGGAGAAGCACAGCGACGAGCCGCGGCGAAATCACGATGGAGCCCGGCGTAATCCCTAGGGCCGGCCGGCCGCGCGATCCGACAGAGTGCCTTGAAGCCGACCTTCGCACCGCCCCGTCTGCAAGACGTCGCCCTCTCTATCTCCTCGCGGCTCGGCATCACACATCGCAGCGCATCAAAGCGCCCAAAACGGAGTGGAGACGATTGGTATCAAGTTGCGGGAAAACATGCCTTGGAGAGGAACAAGGAACGGAAGGCGGCGGCAGAAAGCGGCCGGCCAAGGAGGCGGGATGGATCGAGGCGAGGAGCGAGCGTGAGGGGTGTCGGAAGATGCAGGACGGATGGCCGAGAAGTGTATGGAAAGCGGGAAGGACCGGAACGACGGTGCAAGTAGTCAAGGCCCGATGCATGGAATAACAGAACGAGGGAGCGGGTCCAAGCGGCGACGGCCAGGCGTGTCGAGGCATTCGATGGAGCGCCGGTCGCTGGAACCCGCTGGACGAAAGGCGAGCGAGAGCTCGACCACCAAGTGCCTACTTGACGGGTGTCTCGTGCGGTGACAGGCGCCTGGCGCTCTGGCATCCGTATTTGCGACGATGCCGGGACTGGATCGCCAGCTTTTGAAGAGCTGCAGTTGCGTGGATATCCAAGAGCGTCCGCAAGCACGGTGCGCGGCCGAGTAGGTGCTTCAGAGGAACGAGCGGCGGTCCGCGGCGTCACGAGGCCAAGCCGACTTTCTCGTCGTAGGATGCCATGCCGTTGCCGTTGGCTCCGCCACCTGCAGTGCGGTAGGCGTCGCCGTGTCCTGGCGCGCCCGTGCCCGGGTTGCCGTTCTGCCAGTGGCTTCTCCGATCGAGGTGTGGCGTATCGGCCATGACCTCGCGCTCCTCGACGTGGCCGCTGGGCGGGTAGGCGTGAAGTCCTGCGCCGAGCGCCGAGCCGCCGGCCGCCGATGCCGACGCGGGCCCCGCAGCCTGGCCATCCTTCTCCTGGTACGCAGAGTAGGTACCGGGGCTGGGTGCCCGAGACGAAGGCCGACTCAGGCGTGGCTGCGTCTCGGCCAACGGCTGATCCTGCAGGGTGTGGCTCGACATCTGCGAGACCGTGTGCGGGTCCGTCTGCGTGGGTCGCTTGAAGTACGACTTCCGCCGCTGCTTGAGGTGATCGAAGGGGAGGAAGCTGGCGGTGCACAGCGTCGAGGGTGAGAGGCAGGCAGCCCGGGGGCGCGAAGGGTGAGCAGGTGTGAAGGTCCAAAGGCGTCGGCGACCGTTCCTGCGCGCATCGCCCCTGCAGACTCACTATTCCTCCATCTGCCTCATCTCTGGTGGCATCGAGCTCAGGTCTGCATTCTCGTTGCGCTTCTTGGCCTTGAGCGGGTTGTCTTCCAGCAGCAGCTCCTCGAGCTCGTGAGTCGCGTCAAAGTTGGCCTTCTTGCTCTATCGCGGCCGGACAAGGGGGCAGGTCGCAGCGAAAGGTCAGCGTTCCCAGCTCGGGCCAACGGATGCAATGCAAAACGAGGTCGAGGCCATGCCAGGTCGGTCCGGACTCACATCTGGCTCAAACGGCGGCGTGAGGGTCTTTGCCTCGAGCGCAGGCCAGTCGATGGAGGCGAACCAGGGATGCGCCTTGAATTCGTCGATGCCGCTTTTGCACCCGAGCCGCTTCTTTGGATCGCGTTCCAGCAGGCCGCGAATGCAGCTGATCGTCTCGCGGCTGACGATGCTCTCGACATTCTCGGGAAAGTTGCACTTGTCGTTGAGGATCGAATGTGTGAGGGCCGAGTTGGTCTTGCCGCGGAAGGGACGCCTGCCAAAGAGGAGCTCGTAGGCCACGACACCCAAAGACCACCAGTCGACCGACGAGAGGTAGCCGCGCTTGGCGAGCACCTCGGGCGCCATGTAGGCCATGGAGCCGGCAATGCTGGTCAAAGGCCGCCGCGGCGAAAAGTGGACGGCGATGTTGAAGTCGGTGAGGTGGGCGTGGCCCTTTTCGTCGAGCAGCACGTTGTCCGGCTTGAGATCGCGATGGACGATCTGGAGGCGATGAAGGTAATCGAGCCCGACGGCCAGCTCGGCCACGTAGAAGCGGACCACCTCTTCGCTCATGTTGCCCGTCCGGTCCAGGTGAAACCTCAGGTCTCCGCCCAGCATAAGGTCGAGAACCATGAACATGTTCTCGTCGTCTTGAAACGCATACTGAAGGCGGCAAGGAGAGCAAATCACGAGGCGAACTCGGGCAGTCAGTGATCGAGACCGGAACGACGACGCAGAGGCGCAGCGGAGGAGCGGCTGCTCAAGCGATCCGTCGACGAAACTCACCCGCAAGTTGCAGACGAAGGGGCTTTCGATCTCCTCGAGAAGCCGCCGTTCCTGGATGATGTTGGACACGGCCTTCATCTTCATACACTTTGCCTTGTTGATGTACTTGAGCGCGTACAGGTCCTGAAGATCGAGATCATTGCGCAAAAGTATGGACGTCAGCGTCTGCGACGGGCTACGCGTCCAGGCTGCGGGCGGCTCACCTTGGTCTGCTTGTGCTGAACCACTCTGACCTTGCCAAACGCGCCTTTGCCGACGGCTCGCAAGAGGTAGAAGTGGTACAGATCGACGGGACCATCGAAGTCGATGACCTGGTGGGCGCATCCATGCGGAGATTTCGACGGGTTTGCCGGTGAGCCACGCGTCTGGCAAAAGTGGGCCCATCAGAGTGTTTTGCTCACCTCTGGTTTACAGCATACGGCACCCATCCTGGCGCTCGCTAGTAGCGTCTGAATCCGGAGTGCCGAGGCGCTCTGATGTACGTGGGATGGCGATCAGATGGCGAGAGGTTCGAAAGGCAGCGGAGGGAGATGTGGCACCGTGGACACTGCCGACATAGGCTTCCTAGCGGCCAGATGCTTCGAGAGTCGAAAGTTGCTCGATGCCCGAGTCGGTGCGTCTGCCCGGCAGATGGCAGAGACAGAGAATGCAAGCGGGGCTCAGACTCGATGAAAAGGCCGCGACGAGGGGATAGGGGGCGCCTGCCGGGCTGCGTAGGAGATGACGGGACGATGCAGCTGTGCTTTGCGGCGGGGGTACGGTGGTGCAAACGAGCGTCGTGTCGATGCGAGAAGCTGCGATTCCGAGCCGTTGCGGGTAGGTAGACGGGGAATGTTCCGGCAGGCAGCTCGACGGTGGTTTCCGTAGTGGGGGGAGCGGCGGTAGTCGATGTACAAACGGTCGAGGGAGAGGTGGGTCGGGGTCGGGACGGGTCTCCGAAACAAGGACCTCGACGTCGACGATCAGGCGCAAAGGCGTTTGGGAGAGGGAGTGTTGAGCGTGGGCTGGGTGTCGGACGGGTAAGCTGCCGATGGCACAATGGGCGAGCAATGGCGGGGCGATGTAGCGTTGAGCCACGCTTCACGAGTTGCAGTGGGGACCAGAGCAGCCGTAGGGTATGGTGTGGTGTCGAGTATGAAGCGGTCGATGACGGCAGGGTAGCGGCAAGCACCAAGGGGTATGTACGCAGTGTCGCGTGTAACTTCGTTTGTGTACTGGCGGGCGTTTGCACCTCAAGAGGCTGGCAGGTAGACTGACCAAGGGATGGGTCCGGACCGCAATGATCCGGCCGAGGTTTGAGGCAGAGGTCCCCTCGTGCTACTGTCTCGGACGCCAAAGGTGAGAAATGAAGCTGGAGGCGACCGAAGGATGTGGACGGAAGACTCTGAGCTGGAGGATGACCGGTCTAGGAGAGGATGAAAGAGAATGGTCGAGACGGAAAGGCAGAGAGCGTGGGTCGAGCACAGATAGAGAAGGGGCAAGCGGCCAGGGTCGCCCTTGCTGATGGCTGGCTCACTGGTGGGAGGCCCAGAGCAGACGGGCCAGGCCGACGCACCCAGCCTGCCGCAACGCCAGGAGGGGAACCAAGCGGGGTTGGTTGGCAGGCAGGCAGCGCAGGCAGCACCTAACTAGGCCTCCTCCGCTCTCGGCCTGCACGAAAAAGAGCGTCGGCGCCAGACCCGGTCAGGCCTGCTCGCCTTGCACCGGCCGTCGGCCACGCCGGGGCGGCGGACTTTGGCCATCTCGAAGGCGGACGGCCCAGGCCTGCCAGGCAGCCAACGGATCACGATGCTGGATTCGGCCGCCGGCCCGTGCCTCGCCTTGCACGGCATCGGCTTCGCCGCTCCTCCTCAGCAACCTAGGTCGCGCTGCATTTCAGCGTAGTGTGGCGGTCCGACGACAGCCTAGCAGGTCCCACGGAAGCGGGGCTGCCTGACCCCCCAGACCCGACCCCGACTGCTGCTGATCAAGGGCCAAAGTGGAGAGAAGCCCCCGTCGGTGCGGGGCTCGTCTCTCAGCCCTCTCTTGTCACCAAGGGAAGAGATCCGCTACCTATGTAAATCTAGTTAGAGCGGGGATGCTCCCCCGCCTGCGCCTGCGAATACTGTATGTAGATGAAAAGAGTTTCGTACGTTGGCGGAGTAGCCGGTAGCGCGTGGGACCTGGCGTTGAGCCCGCTCCGAGTGCAGCGGGCCAGCCTGCTTGCTTGCTTCTGGGCTGGGCAGCTGCCTGGGCCAGCTGGCTTCCTGCTTCTCTCGGTCGGTCCGACGGGCTGCTTGTCAAACCGCCATCTTGCTGGCCCGCACCAGGTGTTGCGGTCGCCATGACGAGAGAGAAACGAAGACGCGCGATGAGAGGACCAGGATGGTGGGCGTAAACGGTAGAGGGCGTGCGACAGCCTGACTGCAGGCGAGCTGCTTCGCGAGGGCGGCCACGACGGACAGGCTGCGTGGAAACGACCGAGACAGCGGCGGGCAGCGGACGATTCGCCGGTTGTGATCCCGCCGACGCGGCACAGCGTAACGGCAGACGGGGCAGGGCCAGGCAGCGCGTCGGGCCTGCTTGCTTGCTGCCTCGTCACGGCACCCCGCCGCTGACAGGGGGCATGTATACATGTACATACACACGATGGCTCACAGCGCAGGGACAGCCACCGGTGGCGCGACAAAGCGGTCAAGAGTGTTGCGAGCAAGGCACAGTGTCTGTGCGCCTTTGTGACGGGTTGCTTCTGTCGAAGAATGAGAGATGACGGTAGAGGCAGGGCCAAAGATCATCATCAGCGAGGGGCCCAACGCAGCAGAGGGCTCCGAATGGGGGCTTCTCGAGGGCGCCGGGTATCGCCCACATTTGCTTGACGCACGGCAGTGGCGAGAGCGTGGTTCGGCTGGGCCTGGCCAGGCCGTCGGCGGTGCCAGCAGGCAGGCAGGCGAGGCTCGCCTTTCAGCGGACAGGTGGGGTCTTCCTCCGAAAGGCGGCCTGAACCACAGGGCGACCTCACGAGCCAGGCCCAGTCTGTCCTCTCTGCGACCCACCACCAACACACCACCGTCTGCTTCATCGTTGGTTCAGCCACGCTTCAGAGCCTTGCTTTGGCCTACGAAGCGGCTACAGTGTGCTAGTAGTAGTCTAGTACGGCCGTACCCCTGACTGACTTTGATCGCTCCTGCGACGGACGAGGCGCTTCCACGCATCGAGCTCAAGCAAAGAGGCGCGAGTCGCAGCAGTGCTCGAGACCCCGACGGCAACCAAGCAAGCGCCGAGCGCTCCAGCTGTATCTGCTCGACAGCAGCATCAACAACTCCCCTCGCCGTCCCCTCGCCATCGCACGCAGCCGGCTCCTGCCGAGGACGACAACACTAGGATGAACCTGCTCGAACAGTGCCGCTCGACGCTCTGGGCGCCTACGATGAGCTGCAGGCCGTCGGACTGGGCGCATGCGGTGCTCCTGGTGGTCAGCACCATCTACTCGACACAGGGTCTGCTTCCACCGCACGCTGCCAGCAAGTCGGAGCGGTGGAAGCGCGACTGGCTCGCCCCGACCGCGTCGGTGGCACCGTACGCCGCTCGGGCACTCTTGGTATCGGCGTCCATCTTTCAGGCGTACACCGTAGTGCTTCTCAAACCAGGAGTAACGTGGAGCGGGCGAACACAACTGCTCAACGCCGTCTGCTGCCTCACCTCGTGCTTTGGCGGCTGGCTCCGTCTGAGGTGCTACCGTGAGCTCGGTCGCTTCTTCACCTTTGCCATCGGCATCCGCAAGGAGCACAAGGTCATCCAGACAGGTCCCTACCGCTACGTCCGTCATCCATCCTACACGGCGCTCAGCATCCTGCTTCTGAGCCAGGCCCTCGTCCATCTCGCAGCGAGCCCCGCTGCGGGACTGCTCGAGCTGCAGCAGCGCCTCGTCCTGACCGCTGGCGCATGTCTTGGACCGGCTGTCCTCTTCGGCGTGAGTATGACATGGCTGACAGGCCTCACAGATCCCTTCCGTGGTCCTTTCGCAGGCTGCCGCCCCGTCCTGATGACTTACATACATGACCGCCTCTTCTCGTCCACGCAAACGCCTCGCGGGCTCGATCCCCCTCGCCTCTGTAGGTTCGCATCCGCCAAGAAGAAGAGATGCTGACCGAGCACTTTGGCGACGAATACAGACAGTACAGCAAGCGCACCTGGCGCATGTACCCCTTTGTCTTCTAGCTCCTGTCATCAGCCCTGAACGCACTTCTCGTACAGATCGGCGGGTACCCTGGACTCGAGGTACTTGATCACATCGTCCAGCGGTGTCTGAGGGTAACAAGGAAGGCGGTGATGAAGGAGTTGTTAGCCGTGGCGCCTCCGGACTGTTCAAGCATGACTCGGAGGCAGGATGGACGTGGCGCACTCACCCAAGCAATGAGGTGGCCGCCGTCGCCCCCGTGACCGGGCGAGGACGCAAGGAGGTCGGCATTGGTGGCCATCGTGGAACCGTACTGCAGGATACGGACGTAGTGCTGCTTGTCGTTCTGTCCCTTTCCGTTTGGCTTGCGCCACACCTCGATGACGACTGGGTCGGGGAAGGTAGCCCGACTGGTCAGCTGCCATGCTCCAGCGGCTCGTCCACCTGAGGCAGTCCGCGCTCGTGCTCACCCTCGGAGCCCATGGCAGGCCATCGGATCTGGCCGCTCTGGGCGAGGCTCTTGAACAGCCTCACCATGGTGCCGTCGTGGCCCACGTAGTACTTGACCTTGTGCCGCTCCTTGCCGTCACGGAACGCCTTGAGATTCTCGGCAAGCTCCTGGACAAAGACGCCGAATCCGTATCTGACGTAGTCATCGGCGCCCTCAGCCGTGTTCCAGATGTAATCGTACTCCCAATCGCCCTCGGCGTAGGCCTGGTTGGCGAGATCCTGGCCAATGGCCTCCTTTGTCTCGGGGTTCTCGGGCAGAGAATGTCCGTGGCACTGCCTTGAGGCCATGGCATCAAAGTGGTGGTCGATCCATGTGTTCCAGCTGCTCTGGTTGGCCGTGCCGACCACCGCGTTGAGGCTGGCAAAGAGGCCAGCCTTGCTCTTGATGTGATCGGTCCAGGCCGGCAGCTGCTGGTAAGAGTCTCGCAGGTCGTCGGCATGCGCACAGCTATAATTGGGCACGATGTCGTCGATGCTCTGCGGCTGGGTGTGGACGGGGAACTCGTTGCGGTAGCCCATTCCGGCGAGCAGGCCAGCGCTGACTTGATACGTGCGATCGGCATTCGACGTGCGAATGTATAGGTCCCTTTCGTTGACGCCGTGCTTCAACAGCGGGTTGACACCGTTGGGACCGTAGACGCTGGCAAAGTCCTTGCCGTGCTGGATCGAGTCCTGTAGGCCGGCAGACGTGAGCTGCCCCTTGTCGCAGCTGCCTTCCCAGATGAGCGAAGCCAGCGGGTGCCAGGACGGCGTCTCGACCTGGTGGTAAACGGAATGGGTCCTCAGCCTAGAGGCGTTGCCGGTGCCGATGCCGTAGCTGACCTGTTTGAAGTCGTCGCACTCCCATGCTGTCGGGTTGTAAGCGCGCTCGTTTGGATACGTGTTGTCCGGCGTGCGCTTGTGGTGTCGCTGAACGACGTTGAGATAGACCAGCTCGGCGCCCTCGGTTCCTGGACCTTGCGGCTTGATGTAGTGCGCAGCGCTGACGCGCGGCGCGTTGCAGTAGTCTAGAGGGTCGGGAAGGGGGGGACGGCGTCTCGATCAGTATCTGGGCCGCCTGAGGTGGTTGCACAAGGAGCAAGGCTCGTTCCACTCACTGTACGTGTTCCAAGGCAAGTGGGCCGGCGTCACGCTCGACGTATAGATAGACGCGGCGTGGGACATGGTGTTGAGGAAGGGCACGCGAGGTGCCTCGATGGGCATGGAGAAGGGGAAATGGTGCGCAACGTCGAGTACGGCCTGAGTCGGGCGGTTGGGCATCGCTTTATAAGGTCCGACGCCGCCTCCGTGAGCGGGATCATACCCGGCCCCCCGCAGCGAAGGACCAATGTTTGGGCTGCAGCGTCGAGCTCGCTGCGTACGTAGGAACAGAAGCGGTTCCCTCAGGACGGCAAACTCTGCGCGACGGTCAAACGAGTGAATCTTAGACCTAGGAAGTCTGGGTACGGCAGCACTGGGCTCTGAGCGACGGTCGAGTGAGCATCGCGGCGGAGAGGAAACGAGACGAGGAGCGCCGGAGCTGGAGCAGAGACGGGGGGCGATATCCGACACGTGCGGCCTCCATGGAAGCCAGGCTTGCACCCAAGCGTCCTTCCTTCTTGTCTGACCCTTTGGGGGCGCAACGTGCGTCGCCTCCTAATCCGCCGGCGTCGTCAAATGACCGCCGTCGCGCTCGCATGCGTTGCCGGTCGTGTTGGCCGATGAGATCGCCGGGGGCCACGGGCGCTCGAAGCAAGCTTAGCTTGCCAGTCGATGCTCCAGGTCGGGAGACCGTTTCAGGGCTAACTGTGTGCAAGTTGCCCTTCGGTAAGATTCCGGCGAGCGGGAGCGGCGGTGGGTTGGGGAGGGGGAAATGCCAACGTGAGCCAGCGATGAGGAAGCGGCGAGGTGCGCGTCTAAATGGGTCGCCAGCCTGGATCGGGCAACGGGCCAACCCGTGCGAGAGAGCCGGATCAGGGCACGATCCGGCTGCTTGCTCTTGCCCGCCGTGCGTCTGACGAGAAGGAAGGCGTCAGGCCAGCCGCGAGGACCGAGGAGAGAAAAATCAGAAAGCGGCGCACCACAGCCAGGGGACAGAACGGCCGTTTTCGCCCGCCACGCTCCTCGTCGTTGTTGCCGCCGCCATCACCAGCCACGACATCCCTCCGACCTCGCCATCACCATCACACGTCCGCCACCCCGCCTACCATCCGGCGTTCAACATCACAGCCCCTAACCCATATGATCGCACAGCCGTCGTCGCACGCTCTGCGGGCGCGCAGCTCGGTGAGGGCAGCCAGCCTCGTCTCGTCGGCGCAGAGGCGCCTCGCTCCTCGCTCCTCGATCCTTGCTCGCTCGCCCGCGCTCGCCACCAGCCAGAACAAGAGCGTCGCAAGCGCTCGCCCCTTTGCCACCACTGCCGCTGCTCCTCAGGCCGCCGTGTCCGACGCCATCATCCCTGCGCCTACTCCCGCTACTTCCCGCATCGCCGCCGCCCCTGCTGCGTCCGCCTCGCGTGCAACCCAGGGACGGCATCGCCGACGCTCTCCGCGGCCAGGCGCCCTCACTCCCGCAGACAAGGTGCGCCAGCTCCTCAAGTGGAACTGGCTCAAGCCGGACTCGGACAAACAGCAGAAGAGACTCGAGTTCCTCGCAAAGCTCGATGCCCAGGGCCAGGCCAACCAAGTCAATCTACCGGACTGGTTCAAGGCCCTCTACGAGCAGGCTCGCTCATTCCGCTCGGCTCGTGCGAGGCTTTGGAAGCCTTCAGCTGAGCTGCTTTCCTCCCTTTCCGGCCGCAAAGTCACGGATGCTGATAAATGGATCGATGAGCGCATCGACGCGCAGCGGCATTCCCTCGTCGAAGAGGTCCGGAAAGCCAACGAACGCACCCTCACTGCCCGAAAGGCCATCAAGAAGCGCATCAACGAGCTCGTGCAGGCCAACAAAAACCTCAGCGCAAAGGCCCGACCTGCCGCCGAACGGGAGGCGGCAGCGACCGCAGAAGCAGAGGTCAAGGAGCTCCAGGTCGCTACCGAGGAGGTCGCGAAACGCGTCGCCGCATGGGACCTGTTGGAGCGCGAGGCCAAGGTCGACGTCGCGGTTCAGCCCATCTGGGAGAAGATGAGCGGCCAGCAGAGGTCAGACGCGCAGCTCCGCGCACGATACGTGTGCATCCGCAAGCTTGGCTGGAGGCAGGGCTATTCGTCCGGATATCCTCAGCCGACAAAGTCGATCGAGGGCGGCAAGCCCGACCCGACCGCGCACTTGCCCAAGGGACTGGGCAAGCCGGGCTCCGAGGGCCTCGAGGCGCTGGCGGAGCTGAGAGAGCGCGAGGAGACGGCGGCTTGGGACGCTTGGCTGGCCATGACCAACCCGCAGCGCGTCAAGGAGGAGAAGGCGGCGTGGGAGCTTCGAGACCGCTCGCAGGTCTACATCGACGACCGCGAGGAGTCCAAGATCCTGGGCGCGCACGCCCCGCGCTGGTTCGCCGTGCCCGAGCGGGTGGGACAGACCGTGTTCCTGCCCAACACCGTGGTGCGCCTGGTCAAGAACCACACGCCGGCTGGCCAGGCTTACGACCCATGGAAGGCGACGTTCCGAGTCCCCCTCAACATGCACAAGCACGCGCTCCGCTCCTACCTCCTCTCCATCTACGGCCTCAAGACGACGTGGGCCAGGTCATCGGTGTACCGCTCTCCCGTGACGCGCAACATGAACGGCAAGGTCGTCTCGGGCCGCGGCCGCACCTGGAAGAAGGTCGAGGTGGGGCTGCTTGAGCCGTTCCTCTTCCCCGAGGTTTCGCCGGATTTCAAGACAAAGGAGCTGATGCAGTCCGAGCTCGACTACGAGCGGGCGCGGGTGTACATGAAGATCACCCGCGCCAACCGATGGCGCAGCAAGAAGAGCGTCGACGAATACGAGCAAGAGATCCGCAACGCCGAGGCCAAGACTTACGACGGCCTCGCCGCCGAGGAGGCCGAGCGGGCCAACAACGCCACGCCCCGGCCCGGATACGAGAAGCCGCCGCCGCGCTTCATTGTGCGCACCCAGGGCCTGCCCTCGGCCAAGCACGGCAAGATCCTCAAGCTCCTCGCCGACAAGCGCGCCCAAAAGGAGCAGGCCGTCGAGGCCCTCATGGCGCAGTACAAGGCCGACAACAAGCTCGACTCGTCCAAGCCTTAGGGGCCCCAGCGCCTGCATTCGTGTCGGATCGAAGAGGCGGGGTCCTGTAAGCTGCATAGAGGAATCCGATGGTCCACCTGGTCATGACGCTGTGTCGTCGAGGTGGAGACTGCTGAAGGGCGTGTCATTGTCTGTGCTCCTGCTCCTCGCCAGTCGAAGTCGTCGACGCCGTCGCTGTCACCGGGCCTCGGTCTTGACACCGCTCGGTCTAGACATCGCGAGTCCGAGACCGGTACCGCTCATGCGGCGCCCCGGCGACCCGGCCGCTTTCCTGCCTCATGCCAGCCTGCCCACCACGTTGTCGATCCTCTGTTTGGCCCGCCGCGTGACCTCTTCCGTCGCCGTGTCCGCTTCGACGGGCACGACAATGACGCCGGGTTCACCCTTTGCCGCTCCCGCCTTGCCGTTTCCCTTGTCGCCGCCTGCAGGTGCACGTGTAGGTGCCGCCGCCGCCGCCGCCGCGTACTCTACGTCCTCGACGGGCACCTCGAGGGTGTCGAGCTGCGACTTGAGCATCTCAAACTTCATCTTGTGGAAGGGAAACAGGGGCACAGCATCAACCACAGATGCATGATGCTCGGACATCAGCGTACACCCTCGAACCCATGCAGCCACCCATAGGCCGGAACTTACAAAGTGGTTCTTGCGCGCCTGCATGCGGCCCCACAGGATGTCGGCGGAGAGGTCCATGTAGACGTGGTAGACGTCGAGGTCGGGGGGCGCCCCGAGCTCTGCGCGGTGCGGGTCGGCGGCGTCGTACGAGGCCAGGTCGGCGATGTTGCCGCGCAGCAGCTGGCGGTAGGAGCGCTTGAGGGCCGAACAGGCGATGACGCACCCGCGCCGCCGGACGCCGCCGCCGCTGCTGCTGCGCGTCGAAGGGTGGTGGCGCGGATCGAGGAACTTTGTCGGTGCGCCCTGCGATGCCCCGAGCTTGCCCGCCTCGGCGTCCTGGGCCTCTTGGACGGCGCTGGTCTCGTAGACTTCGGCGAGCTTGCGGACGTGGTCGACGTCGTCCTCGTCGACTTCGAGAAACCTTTTCAGGATCTCGTCGCGATGCTGACCGCGCGTGAGGCCGCGGGCAAGGTGCTGCGAGGCCGGGCGGGTGAGTTCGATGGCGGTGCGGCGGATCTTTCTGAGCCACGGCTCGCGGTCGTCGTCGGTGAGCGGGATGCCCCTCGACATCTTTTCGACGTTGCTGGCGGGGTGCAGGTCGTCGCCGTCGATAAAGGGGATCGCGAGCGCGGAGGCCAGCTGGGAACCCAGCGTCGACTTGCCCGAGCCCGAGGTGCCCATCACCACGATCAGGACGGGCTTGGCGCCCGCCGACGCCGAGGGGTCGTTGAGCGGTGCTGGGGACGCCACGGCCGTGGACATTGCTCGAAAGAGGCCGGTTGGTGTGAGAGAGAGAGAGAGAGAGAGGATGTGGTTGTGCGAGTGTCGACGAAGGTGGCGGAACAAACAAGAGGTGGCGATGGGACCAGGGCAAGGACGAGGGTGCTAGAAGCAGGGCGGGAGGCAGGGCATCAAGGTGGCATGGGCGTTGCGAAGCTCGATCGACGTCGTCCAACCCAGGTCGCCGTCGGCCGATCCGCGGCCATTTTGGAAGTGGGATCCATTTGCCCCCCCCCCCCCCCCCCCCCCGGGGCCCTCTGCCGATCCCGCTCCCGCCCCTCCTCACTCGGCCAAGACCATCCTCGGCCATGCATGGCTGGTCGAAGCAGGTCTAGGATCTGATCTCTCTCTCGATCCTAGCCTGCTGGAGAGTCGCGCAGGGAGCGGCGAGCGAGCACGCGCCAGAGGGTTGGTCGCCTGCTCGATCTTACCGTCGGAGGCAGCGCAACCAAGGACAGGCCAGGGCCAGGCAACGATCCTTTGTCGCCGTCGCCTCCGCCGCGTACGGTGGGAGCCCCGGTCCGGGCACCATGGCGGCTCCTTCCCATCTGGCTCCCCCACGCCGACCGCCCGACATACCCATTCTTGGATTCTGATTTTCCAGGAAACCCACGGCTCGTGCGCCGACGACCAGTCGCGAAGCTCGCTGCGGAGCTCAGCATCGTCGCAGGGAGGAGCGACATTCGGCGGCCCACTGCGGCTGCTGGCTGACTATGGCCGCGAAGCCTCGCTGACGGCCCACGCGACCGAGACCGATCTTCAGGCATCCAGCAGCTCGGGAGGGCGGAAGGGCGGGTATGATGATTGCAGACGCCAACAACGGGGGCATGGCTCTTCGCCTACTCGTCGTGCTCATCCTCGCTCATCGCCTGCGAGCTCTTTCGACCGTCGCCGTGGTCATCGTCATGCAGCGTGCCACCCGCGCCGATGCCGCACAAGGCCAGGCTGGGCGCCAGATGTCGGGCGAGAGCCTTGGCCTGGGCGTACAACACTCCCCAGACGATCTCATCATCGTTGTCGCCGTCGCGAGCGCTTTCTACCTCCAAGGTAAGCCCCGCTGCGGCTGCACTGCCGTTAGGAAGCAGCTCGGCTGCATCAAAAGCGGACGAAACGCTCCCGCCGGCGGGGGAGCGGTTCGGCGTGGCGCTGGGCGTGGCCTCGGAGCCTGTAGAGGATAGCCTAGTACCGTCGTTCCTCGGCCCCAGCAGCAGATTTGAGCGGCCTGCACTGCAGGCATTCAGGGACAGCAGCATGAACGGCCGTGGGGCCTCCTGCCCGTGCACGTGCGTCGAATGGGCGGTGGCATCGTCGTCCCTCTCTGTGCTGGAGCCGTCCGACTTCGCTGGCAGAGGCAATGCAGGCACTATTGGCATCACCAGGATGCGACCGAGCTGAGCGAGAGGGCGAGCGATAGGGAACGAGGAAGGAGCCAAGGCCGTCAGAAAGGTCAGAGCTGCAGCAGCATCAGCGGTCTCACCGGACGCTAGCGCTGCACTCACCTCGCATTCGAGCAGGAGGGGGACGAGATCGGCAGCCTGTCCCTTGCTGCTTCCTCCCCCGAGGGCGTCCAGGCTGTGCTTGGACACATTGACCCGCATGCCCGGCCCCACGACGAAGGTGCCTGCGACGCTGCTGGTGCTGTCGCCGTCGCCGTCGCTACTTGCGACGGCGGCGGTTTGGGCGGCCGTCGCATTTCGCCAGGCGGCGACTGCGATGGCAGAGAGGCAGATGGCGCGTTCGTCCAAGCTGAGTGGAATCGATCTGGACCTGGAGTGGTGCCTGCCGGGCGCAGCTGAGACGGAAGAGGGCTGCGAGGGGCCTGGCTCGCCCAGGCGGCTGGCGAAGGCGTAGAGCTCGGACGTGTCGAGCAGGGATAAGCACGCCGTGTGCGGTCGACCCGCCGAAGCGGCGAGATGGCCCTCGCTCGACGAGGAAGGCTCAGGATGGACCAGCTGGTACAAGAGAGCCGTGATGGCGGCGGGACGAAGCATGGTGCGCAAAGGCCACTACTCTTGTCGCCTGGACGGCAGAAGGGCAGGGATATCGAGAAGTGGGCCGCAGTCGAGGCGAGGAAGGGTTGGTGGTACGCAGGTTGAAAGAAGGCGGGCGCCCGCTGGCGGCTTTCGCATGTGGAGATGGCATGCAAACGCAGCTGGATGGACGGACCACCGGGCGAAGAGAAAGCCGTGCGGGAGGAAGAAGAAAAACGACATCGTCGAAGCAAGCATCAACTAGAATCGGTGCAGGCGGGGCGTCGAGTTGAACCGCGGCCACATGGCCTGCACGGCGCTTCTTTGGTGGGGTCTGACCCGGTACTCTCGCGGGTGGGGTTCGACGTTGGGGGGTCAGGTCTCTGACCTCGCCGTACCGTGCTTTGCTTGCTCGTTGCCTCGTCGCGGTCGCGTCGACGGCAGCCGCAGACTCGCCTTTGTCGAGCAAGAGCAATCGCTACTCTGCTCGCCAATCTCGTTGCGGCCATCGAGGAACGGTGACAGGGGGTGGCGTGCACGCCGATGGCTGCTGACGCTGCCGCGGATGACGACGACGGCAGCAGCTCGCGCCAAGAAGCCAGGCGAATACGCGCACGCCCACCACTCTGGCAAACAGGCAGGCCAGGCCAGGCCAAGTAGCCCCAACAGGTGGAGGGCCGAGGGGCAAAGGAAGAAACCGTGACCACCGCCGAAAGCCGCGTTTTCTTGGCCGCCAGGTGGCCGACGACACTCCCGAAAATCGTGCCCCGTTGCCCGTACCCCGTGCCCCGTGCCCCGTGCCGGGCCTGGCCAGGCCGGGCCTGCCTGGCTGCCTGATCAAGAAGCGGGCCGACACACCCACCGGCAGGCGGCGCAACGATGCAACGACGTTAAGTTAGTTGATGTCGACCCTGGCCCTGCCGTGCCTGGCACTTGGCTTGCTCGACAACGACTCCGCTGCCCTCTGCCTCATCCTCCCCCCTGCTTGCCGACCTCTGACCTTCTATCCCGACCCGATCCTCTACCTCGCCGTCTCCCTCTTGCTGCTGCCACTCCCTTCCCCCAAACCGACAAGGGTCGGCTCTCCTTGGCCGGGATTTCAAGACGCCGTGCCACGTCGACCAACCAGCAGCCATCGGCGACACGGGCCGATCCCGACATTTTGCCAGCGGCTCGCCCGACTGCCTGGCACATCGACCGACGCGGGATCCACTCACACTACTCTCCTACTACTTCCCTCTACCTACTCTCTGAAACGTCTCGATCTCGCTCCTCGCGGCACCCGTACCCGCCGCGGTTGTGCGGCACCCTCTTTCGGCTCCAGCCCGAGCGCTCGGCCTATTCCCCCCGCCCTCAGTCCCGGCTCGCAGCGAGGTGGTCGGCACAGCCACATCAAAAGAGGATGCCATCGTCGACTTGATCGCCAGCCATCCATAGAAGAGTCGTCAAATCGAAGGCGGCAACCGTCTGTCAGGGCCCGCACCTTGGCCGCCACCGTCGCACGCGCCCCAAAACCCCCCTAGACTATCTTCTGCCAGTCGGCTCCGCGTCCCTTCGTCTCGCCCTGCCTGAGCCGCCCATCGCTCTCGCCTCGAGATGAATTCCATCAGCTACCTCGACTCGGTCCTCAGCCGGTCCTTCGCCTCGGACAAGAACATCAAGAGGTCCAGATCGTACTCTTCCATCCCCGGCAGCAGCCAGGGGCGCCGGCGATCGTCAAGCTCTTCGGGCCCGCCTCCTTCGTCCAGGTCAAGCAGCCCTCATCGACGCACGCGCGCAGCGGAGGCAGATATCCGCTCCTCCTCCAACAGCAGCTATCCCTACCCTGCCAAGCTACGGCGCACCGGCAGCACGCCCGCCGGCGTCTCCACGTCCCATCGCTACTACCGTCACGATGACGGCGACGGGACGAGCGACCAGGGAGAGGGCAATGACGATGCCGCCGATGCTGATGGCCTGCCTCGTGCCAGATGGAGCGCGCTCTGGGGATTGACGGGCTGGCTGGACGATGCCATCAATCCCTCAGGCACCACGCCACCACCGAGGTCGAGGAAAACCAGCTCGACCAAGTCGTCGGGGTCTCGAGGCCGCATCGATGAAGCTCAGGGGCCACCGCCAGATGGGCTGCGGCGCAGTCGCAGGGTACCGAGCCTCGACAGCCTTCTCATGGCCTCCTCGGCTCCCGTTCGCCGTTCGCCCCGCCGCACGGCTTCCAGCGGCACGGCAGCCCAAGTGCCGATCGTCCGGGCCAAGCAGCCCAGTGCACCGGTAGACGAAGAAAGCCGGCCCCGCCGCCGTAGCAGCAACGGGAGGAAGAGCAGGTTCGGGCATGCCGCATGTCTTACGATGACAGGCGTCGCTGCCCCTGACCCCGCCGAGGTGGCGTTGCGATCCGAGGACGCAGAACAACTAGACGAGCGGGACATGATGAGCGAAAGGGAGCGGGAGGACATCGTCGACTTCGACGGGGGCGATTTCGCTCCCGACGATCTTGACGCCGTAGGCGCAGTCTCGGGATCACCCAGACGGTATGGCCCGAGCCAACACCTTCGCCAGGAGTCGGGCGATAGCCAGTCGGGCGCCAGCTCGGCCGGCTCGACTGAAAGCGGTGATCCCTTCGTCGGCCAAGGCTTGCTCGATCAGACGGCTTCCGGTGCAAGGCTGCCGCCTCCAGCACCAGACATTCCAGAAATGGGGATCCCTGTCTCGCACCAGGCAGCGTCATCTTCTTCTGCGCCACCACCACCATGTGACGCAGAGAAAGCGTCGATGCTGTCGATTTTCCAGAAGGCCTCGAGGCATGTCAGCCAGCAGGCGGCTGCTCAGGATTCGGACGGCTTGGCGTCAGGTCAGTCATCATCCTCACCGCAACCTGTGTCGCCTCCTCCGAGTACATCCTCGATGCGTCAGGACAATGAGGCGCCCACCGATGGCCTCTCAAACATGAGGAGGCGACCGTCAAGAAAGGCTCATGGCAGGCAAGATTCGAATGAGATGGCGCAGCCGACATCCGACGGCTGGCTCAAGGCGCGACCGCCATACCCGCACTCGGCTTCCTCCATTCCGGCGTCTTCGCCTTTCGCGCCTCGGCGCTGGCGCTTCTCACCTTCCAGGGCGTTCCGGAGGGCGCTGATAGCGCTGCGAGACATACTGATTGTCATCCTGTCGACTCCTCTGCGCGGCATGCAGCTGCTGGCGGGCCGGCCAAGACGGGCCAGGTACATCAGGGAGGCCGACTTGAAGGGAGACATCATGGCGCAGCCCGAACGCGAGGCGGTCGCTGTCTTGTTGCGCGAGAAGCGCCTGGGAGATGGCGACGATGCAGCGTCGTTCGCCTCTTCGGATGCCTCCGAGATCGCTTCGAAGAAGGGTGACGCCGAGCTCGACGACAAGATGGGCCGGCCACGGTCTCTATCGAGCCTCCGCTTTGCAGCGGCGGACGGCAACGTCCACAAACTGCCGAGGTCGAACAGCGGCCGGCCAAGGACCCCGCGTCCAGAGATAGCGCCCTCAGAACTGTTCCCTGCTGAGGCGACACCTGGTCACGCGGAAGATCGGGCATCCCCTGCTGACACGGATGCGAGATCAGGCAAGGACAGCGACGACGAAGAGCCAGTCACTGAAGAGCAGGCGGCGGCGCGGGCCGAGAAGCAGCGGCTCGCACGCCTCGCCGCCGGCGGAAGGGCAGAAGAAAGCGGTCACCCACAACGGCCGCCGCTGGTCCCCACACGCAGCCGGCTGCTGCCGAATCCGCATCCCATCGACCCCATGCTCGCCCACGACCGCAAGGCGCAGCCGGTCGATGAAGCGATGGCGCGCGAAGAGGCGAGACTGCAAGCCGAGCGCAAGGCCAAGGTGGACGAGCGACGCGCGGCACGGAGAACGGCGCAGCTCAATCCCGCAGCGGCCAAAGCGGCCCTCGAGGCGGCGCCGGCTGCCGCTGCTGCTGCTGGCGGAACGCATGCGATGGCCAAAGTGCCGCGGGGCCCCTCTTCGTCGATCATCCACCACACGCCCAAGATCCTGGTGCTCGACCTCGACGAGACGCTGATCCACTCGACTTCGCGGTCCCCAACGACGTACTACAACGGCGCCGGACGACGCGTCTCGACCGGCGGCGGCGGCATCCTCGGCCTCGAGAGCCTGGGCGCCGTGCTGGGGCTGCGCGCCAACGAGAACCCGGGCCGCATCCGGCCACACATGGTCGAGGTGGTGCTCGACGGGCGCAGCGTGCTTTATCACGTCTACAAGAGGCCGTGGGTCGACTACTTTCTGCGAAAGGTGAGTCATTCAGAGGGCACGTCGAAGCTGGCGCGGTTTCCGTGTCGCGCGCATCGCGTCGCGCTTGATCCTCTCTTCCTAAGTGCTGACCTCCGACGTTGAACCTGCCCTTTGCCGCGACGTCGCCATCGCAGGTCGCATCGTGGTACCACGTCGTCATCTTTACGGCGTCGGTGCAGGAGTACGCCGATCCGGTCATTGACTGGCTCGACCAAGGCCGCGGGCTGATCGGCGGCCGGCTTTTCCGAGAGGTGAGTGGAGCGTTCGCAGCGTCGACGACTTGTTCCCTGACGGTTCGACGTCTGACGCTCTCTCCTCCCTCTTCTGCCTCATTCCCGCGACCGTCTGCTGGTCGGGCAGGCCTGCACGTACAAGAATGGCTCCTACGTCAAGAACCTGCAGGTGGTGGACCCGGACCTGTCGGCCGTGTGCCTGGTCGACAACTCGCCGGCGAGCTACGCCCACAACCAGGCCAACGGCATCCCCATTGAAGGATGGACCCACGATCCAAACGACGAGGCGCTCCTCGATCTCCTGCCCGTCCTCGATAGCCTTCGCTTCGCAACCGACGTACGCCACATTCTCGGCATACGCGGCTTCTCGTCGTCGTGAAATCCACCCTACGATCTGCGAGTAGATCGCCGTCATCCACTTGGGCTGTGTCGCCACCGATGATGGCGTTGACCCGCCCAGCAAAGCAGTCTTGTCCAGTCTATCGACCTAGTCCATCGCCTATCCGTCGGCTCCTCGTCTTTCAGAGGCCTGGAGGGCAAGGATGAAGGCGAGGTGGGGCAGGGGGAGAATAAAGAAGGGACAATAGCGTTATCGAAGATATGCGAGGCCGGGTGGCATGCGGATCAGGCGGGGCTTTCGAAGTCGATATAAAGAGGTGACGACTGGCCCGTTTACCCATCGCTTAGCCCTTTTTGAACGAAAAGGGGTTCTGCGATACGTTCCACGGGCGAAGATGGGGGGACATGGGCGCAAGTCAGTGCCGCCTTCCCTCGCTGTTCCACCGGTGGGGTCGGCCCGCGACGCACCTTTAACCTCTTCTTTTCCTTCTGGCTCTTCAGGCTCAGCTCGCTCTGCTGACTTGGGGCTGGACTGACTCTCCCCGCATCGCCGTTGGATACGTGGGACGGCACCACGCCTCTTGCCTGGAGATGTTGCGTCTGCTGCTGCTGCTGCTGCTGCTGCTGCTGCTGCTGCTGCTGCTGCTGCTGCTGCTGTTGCCCGTGACCCGGATGGTAGTCCTGCTGACCGTACGAAGACGCGCTCTGGACCTGGAACCGCTTGTCATAGCTCGACTGCGACGCGCCCGAGGTGGGGGGGTTGGCGTAGCCGCTCACTCCCCCGTTATCGGGTGGATGCCCGTTGTACCCAGATTGGGCGAGCGAGCTGGTGCGGATCCCGCTGATGTCGTTGACCGGCTTTGAAAACGTGCTGGCCCCAGCCGGTAAACGCTGCGGCGAGTGCTGTTGGTGGTGCGAATGGTGCGGGTGCTGCTGCTGATGGTGCGGGTGATGCCCTCCGTGCTGCTGCGGATGCGAGGCATGGGAGCGCCTGTCTGGGCCGGCACCAGCGCCGCTCGACGCCTTGCCAAAGTGCTTGAGCGTGTTGATGAAGGATTCGGGAGTAAATGTGTGCGAAGAGCCTGAGGGCGCCGGAGGGCGATTCAACACCAGGAGAGAGGAGCAGCCCGCCTATCAGCGCCGACGATCCCCTTGGGCCTGACCGCAGCTTTGCGACCGCTCGCCAGCCCGCCCGTCCTTGGACTCACCGATGTAGCAGTCCTTGTTGAGCTTCGAGCTGATCTGGTACGCGCTGCGGATCTCCGAGTACGTCATTCCTCCTGCCACAAACACCATCACTCTTTGCCGGTTGTCGGAACGCTCGGCGCCGCCGCCTGCCCCGGCACGGCCCTTTTGGTGCCAGGTCGGCTTGGCACTGCGAAGGCTGCTGGGTTGCGGTTTTGGTTGCGTCTGCGCGCTCGACGCGCCGAAGCCGACGCGGGCAAGTGCGGCATCGCGTCCGGACGAGGCGAGCGACGGCGTCTCGGGTGGCGCATCGCGGACGTAGGGATAGGTCGATTGGTCGAGCTTGCCCGCAAAGTGATCTTCAATCATGAGCTTGACCAGCGGCTGGTACCGACTGAGCTCATACTCGTTCTCCCCGGGCTGCTGCTTCCGCTTACCCTTCTTGAACCACGCGTCCCAGCCGCTGCTCGAGGCGTCCTTGACCACCTGAGCGCCGAGGTGGACGAGGTTGTCGACGGCGTCCATCTCGTACCGGCCGAGCCGGGCGTGCTGGAAGAGCCGCTTGCGGTCCTCGTCCGGCACGCCGTCGCAGTACATGATGTAGAGGGCAATGATGCGCACCTTGTCCATGTTGCTGACGGCGCGATCATCCAGCAGCGGGACCATTTCCTCGACCAACGTCTTGGGCTTCTGCCCTTCGGGCGTCAGCCGGGTGGCGCAGTTCTGCTCGACCATGGCCTGTGCGGGCAGCTTGCTCTTCTCGAAGCGGTTCATGCAGTCCTGCGCCATGGTGAGGTGGAGCGAGAGCTTGTCCTTCATCTCCTGCATGTGCGGCAGCGAGGCGAGCATGTCGCGCATGTCGTTGAGCGATGAGTTCTGGTCGGTGAAGGCGCCCGCCTCTCCGGCGTGCTGGTGGAAGTCACGCGTCAGCTTGTCGATTGCCTCGGCAATGTGCAGGTGGCGGATCCCCGTCCAGACCGCGTCCTCGTCCGACAGCAAGGCCTCTTTCTCCTGACGCTCGCCGTCGGCGCCGACAAAGGTGTACTGGAATTTGGCGCCGTCTTCGATGGGCAGGAGGTCGTTGCACATCGCCTGGTAGGAGAATTCGTGCAGCAGTGGCGCTGCAGTGTCCATGGAGCGGTCGGTGAGAAAGAGGATACCGCGCGGGCGGCCCGGGTCCGCCTTGGGCTCATTGTCCCGGATGTACTGATCAATGGCGCTCTGGAGGCGCATGGCCAGCTTGCGGGTGAAGTGCTCGCCAACGCCAGGGCCTGATCCGCCTGCACCGGGCAACGCGCCGTCGTTGGCATTGCCGCGCAGCCGCGCCATCCTAGCGCTGCCCTGGTACATGTTGGACGCTGCCGTCTGGGAGCTCTGGGCCTCCTTGGATGGGGCGAGCGCACCTAGGGGCGGATGCGACGGGTTGTAGTACCGAATCAGAGGAAACTCGTTCAGTGTGACGCAGACGTTGAGCAGCGTCTGGGTGGAGAATTGCAGCTCGTCCTCTATCGCCTGCAACGCCTCTATGGGATCGGGTCCGTAGAGGCCGCCGGCGGGCTGGTATAGGGTGAGGAAGCTCTGTGGTGTCTTGAGCGAGAAGACCTGCGCCTCGAGCGCTGATCAATCAATGGGGCAGGCGATATGTGTCAAGGGAGTGTGAGCGAGGCAAGCGTGCATGACTTTGCGATTCGGGCCAAAACGCGCGGCCACTCACGCCAAAAGTTTGAGTAGAGCTCGATCAGCTGTCGCAACTTGGGCTCCGCTCTCGATCTTGTGAGCTTTTGGAGGAGAGCGTCCGAGAGGTCTGCACCGGAAAAGCAAGGCCGGTATGATTTGGTGCATGCCAGAAGAGAAAAAGGGGAGGTTGTCTGGTCGGTGCGAGAGGAGCAGGGTCGACTGAGCCAGCCGACTGCACTCACTGTCGACAAAGAAGATGTGACCGGCGGCGTAGGTGGGGGCGCGTCCGTCTTCGGGTGCGAGGTCACGGATGATGCGATCGATGTTCTGACTAGTCGGGCAGAGGAGGTAGGCGGCCTCGACGGACGACTGTGGGGCGCGGGAGAGCTCGATGTTATCGACCTGGGTGACGTTCTCCTGCAGAATGTCGTACATCTTGAGGACGCTGGCGAGCAGCTCCTTTGTGACCGAATCAATGACGAGGACCTTCCATTTCGAGGGGGGCTGGACGGAGCGTAGCGAGCTGAGGTAGCCTGCGGAGCAAGGAGGAGGAGGCAGAGGGAGGTCGCGAAAGACGGAGTCAGCGCATGTGTTGTGACAGCGGCAGGAAGCATTCTGGGAGCCCACTTACGATCTCGCAGCGAGTTGATGAGGGACTTTGGTGCCATGCTGCCGGGTAGCACGAGCGAGGATGTGGCCGGCGGGAGAGAAGCTTAGGGTGGAATGGAGGGGTGAGGGGGAGTCCGAAGGGGTGCGTCCGAGCGATGGCGCTGTGGCTTGATCAAGACGATCGCGGTGCCAGCCAGCAGCTGAGCCAGCAGAGCGGGAGTGGATGCAGGGACTGAAGCTGTTGAGCGCTCGAAAGCGAGGTGGGCGGCGGCTTGTGCGCAGAAGGCGGTCAGAGGCGTTGATCGATCGAGGCCGCCTTGTGACACCCTCTCTCTCTCTCTCTCTCTCTGTCTCCGTGTTTCTCTCTCTGTCTCCGTCTTTCTCTGCAGGGTGGTCGATGCGACGTTGCAGCCCTCCAGTATAGTAGTAGTATGGAGCGAGAGGCGTACGTGGTGGCGAGTGGTGGCGGTGATGGAGGTACTGACGTAGGCCACTACGGGTGACAGAGAAGCGAGGGAGCCCAACCAAGCCTGCCTGCTGCTTGCTTAGGTCGGGCCCCGCCTCGAGGTGCCCAGCCTCTGGCGTGCGGCTCGACCGCCTGCCAGCTGCACTTGGCTGCTCGACTTGACCCGTGCGCCTGCCCCTGCCTGCAGCGAGCTGCAGGTGGGTTCGAGGGAGGGCAGCCGGCAAGCAGGCAAGCCGGCAAGCAGGCGAGCAGCCCGTTGCTGTGACCAAACATTTTGCTCGGATCCGAATCGATCACGAAGTCAGCCAGAGCTCCGGCGAGCGCAGCAGCAGCACAGGCGATGGCGACTGCCTGCCTGCTTGCCTGCCCGCCTGCCAGTCTCGGTGCTAGGGTGGTGGCCCGCCTCCAGGCAGGGGGGCCCCCCCATCCCAAACTCGCCCTAGCCTCCCCTCCTCTCATGCCACCACCCACCTCTGTCACCTGGACCATCCCCCCGGATCTCACACCACTCCACCCCCTCAAGCACCTGTTCAGATCGTCCCGTTCACCCTCTGCTCCCCCGACCCCGACGGGCTACAGCAAAGAGATAGGGGCAAAACAAGAAAAGGGGATACCGAAGCAGGACCGCGCAAACATCCGTAGCAGCAGGCGCAACCTCGCCTCGACTCGCCTCGCCAGCTCGTGCCGTCATGTCCTTCTTCGGCTTCGACACCGCCCTGCCAAGGGACAAGCCTGCCATCCGTCCAGGCCAGCAGCCTCACCACGCCAGCTCGGCCTTCGACCCCACCTTTGACCCCACTGGCGGCATCGACGACGATGACACCCTCGACGCAAAGATCAAGGCACTCGCCGCCGGCGCACAGGAGGATGTGGAAATCTACACATGGGGCCAGGAGGGATACGACGGCCTCGGAGACAAGCTCGACGAGGCAAACGACGACTTCAACGAAGACACCTTTGGCGACCTCGGTGGCGATGTCGGTGAGTACACCACAGTGACCCCCAAAGCCCCTGGACCAACATCGAGTGCCGTCGCGGAGCCCCCCTGGCCTGACCTTGTTGGGTCCGACCCTTCGCCGTCCCTCTCCCCATCCAGGCAAGGACTTTGACTTTGGCGCCGCTGCCGGACTCGATCCCGTCAAGCCCGGCGCCAATCACCAGAACAACAATAACAACAACGTCAATTGGCAGGCCCAGCAGCCGCAGCACCAGCAGCATGCCGGAAAACGCGACACCGCATCCGCCTTTGCCACCACCCTGGACGAGTTCTGGATGACGCCTCCCTCCCGTTTCGGCGCCCGCGACGACCGCCCGACGACTTCGCAGCCCCAGCAGCAGCAGCAGCAGCAGCAGTTGCCCAAGCAGGCCGCTCCCCGTACGCTCGAGGAAGTTGAGGCCGAAATGCTTGCAATGAGGGGCAAGGTTCAGCCTAGCCAGCCGCCGCAGCAGCAGCCCGTGGAGGCCGAGTCGCAGGGCCGGGGGAAGCCCATGACGCTCGAAGAAGTCGAGGCAGAGATGCTGGCGCGTCGTGGCGCGGTTGCCCCCGTCCAGAACGCATCACCCGCTACCAGCGTGCAAGACCCAAATCTTCCCGTCGGACTTTCGGCACTGATGCAGCAGCAGCAGCAGGGTGCGTTCCCTCCGGGCATGCCGCCACCGCCGCCTGGCTACTCGCACTCGCCCCAGCCGTCGGTGGGTCTGCCTGGCATGCCGCCCATGGTACCTCCGCCAAACCTGCGCATGATGCCAGGACAACAGCCTCCGACCGCAGCGGCCATGCAGGCAGCCCAGCAGCAGGCGCAGGCAGCCCACTTCGCCCGCATGCGCGCCCTGCTCGAGGCTATGCCCCCGCTCGTCCAGCAGAGCATCCTCTCGCTCCCGCCACCCATGCAGTTCGAATCGCTCGAGAGCGTCGTCGTTGCCTACCCCGGCCTGTTGGACCCCAGCCAGCGCGAGGGCGCACCCGGCTCCGCCGCCGAGCAGGAGGCCGTCAAGTTCATGATGGTTAAGGCCCAAGCCCACATCGCTGAGCTCGAGCGGGCCGAGGCCAAGCGCAAGAGGCGGCTCGACAAGATCGCTTCCATGGCGCGCTACAACGGCCTCATGTCGGGCTCGGACAAAGATTTCATCACCCGAATCCAGATCAGCCAGCTCATTACCGCCGACCCGTACGCCGATGACTTTTACGCGCACATCTACTTTGCGCTGCGAGGCGGGCCGATGCGACCGGGCGTCCCCGCCGCTGTGGTCCCCTCGGCCGGCAACAACAACGGCAACGGCGCCGGAACTAAGCAGGGCAAGGGCAAGCAGCGGCTAAACAAGCAGCAAAACGCGATGCTGCGGATGCAGCAGCAGGTGGAGCGGATCGTCCAAAACCGCAAGGAGCGGATCGAAAAGAGCGCCAGCGGCGCCGCTCTCGAGGGCGCGCTGGGCCGCGTCAGCCTGAGTAGCACCAAGAACCCCAGGCAGATGCTCCAGATCAACGCCTCTGAGGCGTCGCCCAAGGCCGGGACCGCCGCCACCACCAAGGGCCGGGATAGCCCGGGCGCCGGCCACGCGCGCGACGCCGTCAAGCAGGCGCTCGAGGGCGCCAGCCTCGGCCGTGAGGGCGCCAACGGGCAGCGGAGGGATCCGCTCGGCAAGCACGAGGTGCTGCGGATCCTAGAGAACCTCTACGACACAGTGCTCGCGCTCGAACAGAAGCGCCGCAATGCGCCTCCCGCTCCCGCTGGCGAAGCTGCTGGTGGTGGTGGCGGTGGTGACGACGGCGAGGCATCCAAAGCGGCAGCGGATCCGGCGGCCGACCAGGCGCGTGAGGCGTACGAGGCGTGGCAGGCCGAGCAAGCTGCGCTGACGGCCAAGCTGTGGAAGGAGCTGCGGGTTCTGGAGCCGCTCGAGATTTCGGACCCGCACCCCTTCGTCTCGCTGCTGTCCTGTGCCAAGGGCAAGCGGCTGCTGCCGCGTGCGTTGCGCCACCTGACGCCCGAGCAGACTTTGACGGCGCTGACGATGGTGGTAGCGTCGTTTGAGACCCTCGACGTGGTGCGGCTGGCGCCTCTGCTCGACGACCCGACCGACGACGCGGCCAGGACCGAGGCCAAGAACGACGTCGAGAGGCAGACCGAGACATTTGCCACGACGATTGTGCCGAGCATGATGCAGCTCGCCGCCACGGCGCCGATGCGCATCGTCAGCGGCATGCTGGCGCTGTTCGTCGAGCGCAACGATGCGGTGCGCGTGGCGCAGACGCGGCCGGGCGTGGCATTCCTCACCATTTTCCTGTCGCGCGCTGAGACGCTGCGCCAGGGCGGCGGCGCGGCGGGCGGCGAGGAGCCATCGGCTGACGAGTTGGACCAGTGGAAACAGATCTTCGGCTTGCTGTTTTCCCGCCTGACGGCGGGCGGTAAGCTGCCTACTCTTTTCCCATCAACGCGCGCTAAGGCAGCTTTACCGTTCGGAGTGGGCTACTACCTCTCGGGCGGCCTCGGTGGGGCCACATCGGGACTGACGTCGCAAATGTCTTCAGGAGGACGATACCGCAATGCCGACGTCGAAGACGAGCCCGTCTGGAACCTCATGGCCGCCCTGGCCGTCTCGGCGGGAATGGAGCAGCAACAGGTCCTGGTTCAGGAGCTCCGCGAGAAGATTCTCGAAAACGTCGTTTCGGCCAAGGAGTGGAGCAAGCGCAACGGTGGTGCCAACGCGGCTGGAGATGAGCTCGGTCCCGATCTGAGGATCCGAAACGTCAACCTCCTCCTTCATGCCCTCAATCTCGACGCTGCTCAGATCACCGTCTAGAGACGTGTCGGTCGGTCCAAAATCCAGGCCAAACCAGGCTGGGCGGCCCTGCCCCCTGCCCAGTGCCGGGAGAGGAGCTCAGATTCGCCGCCTCCCTCGTCGTCGTGGCTGCTTTTTCAAAGATCCTAGTGCCGTGGCCTTGCAACGCTATCTCAGACACATCCCCGCTTTCTTGTTTGACCCCCTGGGCTTGTCGTGTGACGATGCCGGCGAAAGCTGAACACGCAGCGACGGATGAGTGCGCCATTTCCCCGATGATGACGCGTCGGAAACGTTGTCGAGGCTGGCTGGCTTTCGGGTCGTGCTTGGTCGCTCCTGCCGCCTCATTGCGGAAACTGGGCTGCGGCTACGGCTGGAGGCTACGGCTTTTCAGCGTCGCCAAGGCCCTTTTCCTCGCCCGCTCCAGCTCAGTCAGACTGGCATCTTCATCCTGCCCCCGCCCCCGCACCTGCCCCTGTTCGACTTGATCATCCCGGTCGCGCTGTCCCCGAGCACCATCGCCGGCATCATCGTTGCCGGCCTTGCCGCCGCCTTCATCCTTCTGAAGCCCTTCGAGAAGCTGCTGCATCCGTCCAATCGACTGGCCCACCTCAGTCTCAGCCGGTTCGTCGCACTTGCCTGCCGACCTGTCAGCGGCTGCCCCACCAGCATTGGCCGGCTGTGACGACGCCTTTCCCATCGTCCCCTCGCTAAGTGCAGCGGTGGCGGCGGCGGCGAAGGAGGTAGGCGCTGCTTCGATGCGCGTCTTTTTGCGCGGCATCCAAGCGGCCGAGTCGTCGGGATCGCCGTAGTCGAGCTCCGTCACGCTATCTGTCGGATCCACCCGAACGGCGATAGCAGCATGTCGCGCGGCGCCTTGGCTTTGGCTTGGTCTCTGGCCCTGACCATGACCCGGAGCCGGCCGCTGCCCCCTTCCTTGCACCTTGTTGATCTGCGGACGGATCTTGAGCGTTTTCTCGGCGAGGATCTCGACAGAGATTTCTCGCTCGTCCTCCTTGTCCTCGTCGGGCGCCTGTGCTGGGGCGCCATGGGCCAGTGTGACCTGGTCACCCTCTGCCTGGGCCTGTTGAGCTAGCTCGGCGTGCTTCTGCAGCGCCTCTTCGCGCTTGCGCGCCGCAAGCTTCTCCTTGACCTCGCGCTGCATGGCACGGTACGCGCGTGTCGCCTCGTCCTCGTCTTGTTCGTCTGCCTCGGCTTCGTCAACGAGCTGTTGCTGCTGCTGCTGCATCAGCTCATACTCGCGCTCGTACCACTCGACGCAGTCGATGCTCGTCACCTTGATGCTTGAGGGGATTTCGGACGGCGGCCGCTGTGAGGGTGGCGGAACCGGATTCCACTTCTTCCCGGTCTTATGGTGCTGGGCGGCGATTCTCGAATTGCTGGCGATGGGACGGCTGGCGGCAATAGACGTGCCTGCGGCATGGCTCGAGTCGAACTCTGCAGCGGTAGCGGAGGTGGTCGCAGCAGCCGCAGCAAAGGCGGCAGGGATGGCGAGCTGACCGTCCTGCGTATCGACTGTTGACGGCTGGGATTTGAAAGGGCCGCTGGCGTGCGCCCTGTCCTTCTTGGTCTTGCGCGTGACGGGTCCGACGGGTCGGCTGGCAAGCATCCTAGCGGCAATCTCTTCTAGGGTCGGTGCAGGCGTAACGCCCGCAAATTGACGGCTGGGCGCGGCCGCGAGTTTCTGCGCTGTGGCCTGAGCGCGCCGGGCGTCGGACGCGTCCAGGCCCAGGCTCCCGCCGCCGGGCGGGAGCTCCGAAGCCTGCTGCTCGACACCGTGCTGCGTCAGTGTTGGTCTGGCCACAATTGTGTCGATGTCCCTCGACGGGCAGAGATCGATGGCCCATCCCAGATTCTCGCCCTTGGCGTCGATTTTTTCCTTGGTCTCAGTATACTCTGCGTCATCGACTACTTCGCCTCGAGACCGTCTCTCTGCGCGGTCTTTGGCGGCGAGGAAGTCGGCCTCGGCCCTGGCCTGTCGCATCTGCTTCTCCCTTTGGCGCTTCTTTTGATTCCTTCTCTTCGTGCGATTGGTACCCTGGCCGGGAGGTATCAGGACCTGCGGCGAGTCTGGACTGCCCGAGGTGGCCGAGACCGGCGCTCTCACGCGAGCAGGACGCACGACTTCCGAGGGCGCCGAGTCGCTGATGGAAGGCGATCGGGATGCTGCATCGCCGCTGCTGGAGTCATCATCACCATCCGTATCGCTCGATGCTGAACTCTCCAAGTCGTCGGAACCGGATTTGGAGCTCGAGACCGAGCTGGTGGCCCCATCGTCATTCTTGTCGTCTGGCAACTGAATAGGGTCCGACGACCTCGGCGCCGCTTTTATCTCCGGGGCGACGACCCTTGGCTGAGCGCGATTCTTTGGGCCGGAGGCCTTTTTGCGAGCCTCGAAAGCAGCCATAGCTGCGGCGACGGAGCTGGAGCCGCCAAGTGAGCCGAGGCTTGGTGGCACGGGCATGGTGACTGCAGCAGCGGACTTGACAGATGACCTTGCTCTGCCTGACGGTAGGCTTCCGGGCAGCGCCATCGGCTGGCCGAGCCCGGGTGGCGGCTTGGGAAAGTCGTCGATGTCATAGTCCCCGTCGATGTCCCCGCCAGGCGGGATCACCTTGGCGCTAGCACGTGGTGTGCGCGGTCCATATGCGTCCTGCGAGGGTTGCGTGCCCTCTTGGCCGCCGCGATCAGCGTCGCTGTAGCCCTCGCCGTCGTCAGCCTCGCCGTTGTATTCATCCTGACCCTCTTCAGCGTCATCGTCTTCGACGTCGTCGTCCTCGCTGTCGCTGCCGCTGCCGCCTCTGCCGCCGAGCTCGGAGCGCATGAGTGCGGCGATGCGATTTGCCTGGAGGAGGGCGTCGCTGGCCTCTGCATCCAGCGGCGGCTCCGGATCCGACCCCGAGCTGTGGCTGTTACGGCTACTGGACGAGTCGGACGAAGACGAGGTGGATGAAGAGACTGAGCTCGAGGTAGAGGCTGACGAGCTCGAATCTGGAGTGCTCCGTCGTCTCTGCCTCTTTCTGGGGCGCTCAGTGACTTGATGACTTGCTCTTGACAGCTTGCCCGCAGCCTTTGAGCTAGAGGAGGTGAGCTGCAGAGCGTGTTGCGGGTGTATGCTGACGTCGATGAGGTCGCCGTCGCGTATAGTGGCTACGACGTCGTCCGGGATGATTTCAAAGCCATCGATGGAGAGAGAGAGAGACTCGGATGTGCACCTTGCGAGGAGCGAGACGGCGTCGTTGGTGTGAGCGACCCTTGCGAGCGAGGAGAGGATCTTTTCGGCGAGGTCGACAAAGGGGTAGGGTGCGGAGGCGTTGAAGGTGGTGAGGAAGCGGCTGATGGGCAGGGGAGGCTGAGTGCTTATCTTGATGCGCAGGCTCGAGGACGGAAGTTGCTGAGGGGTCGAAGAGGCCGAGGCGATCGAGGGAGCGGCAGGGTGACGGAACGTTGGCCTGGGGAAGAGGGGGGCCACCGCCGAGGCCGAATCTGCCGACGAGACTGAGATGCCGCGCGCCTTGGCCGTCGTCGAGCGCGCAGCAGAGTGCTTGACCATATTGTCGTATCTTGACGGCGGTGGTCAGTCTGTCAACGCCAAAGACGATGGGCGGGAAGATGAAGTGGTGAGAGATACAAGGAAGAAGGAGGCAAAGCCAACTCACTAATAAGACTACCTCTCTCTCCTTCGGCTTCGACCCAACTTTTTTCCTTGTTTCCTTGGCTTCTGCCTCCACTCTGCTGGGCCGCCAGCCTGCAGCCAAGGACCACCCTCACTCTCCTCTCCAGCTTTGCCCACGTCCGAGGGCGGCCCGGCGCGGGCGGGGGAGGGGCGAGACCTGCCCGACCCACCGGCGAGTAGTGCAACCCGTGCGTCGCCATCGCCCGAGAGCGACCAGCTCGACGAAGCCCAGGATCGACCCGCGCGACGGGCAGGTGACGACGATTTCCAGAGTGCGGAGCCGAGTGGCGTGGTAAAGCTGCCAATGCCATGGTGTAGAGTACTGATACAACAGGAGGCCAGGTTCAGACGCCATCAACGGCCCTGGTCCACAATTAGCACGAGGGACAGTCAGTGGTGGTGGGCACGACGGCGAGCGAGACGAGGCTCTGCAAAAAAGGACGCAGGCATCACGCCTGGGCCTTGGTGGACCCGAGCCGCAGCGTCACCTCGTAGATCGAGAACATGACCACGGCGTTCTGAGAGCCGATGATGGGGATGACAGGCAAAGTTCCGGTCAGAACATGACAGACGGGCTCGCCGTCGGCGCGCTTGAGGCTCCCGTTCCGCCGCCGTGGCGTGGTGTGCGGCCGTCGAACTCACCGGAACAACGCGGAGCAGATGGGCGCTCAGACCGCCATAGAGGGCGACCGCGCCCTCCTCTCTCAGCACCACTTGGATCGTCTGCATCAGGCCGGTGTACTTTGGAGCTTGACCGGGTCTGACCTGCTGCCGCAGCCGTGTCCTAATCACTTCGTGTGGGTACGTGATCAGGCTCGCAACGAATTTGGCTGTCCCGGCTGCGCCCACCATGCGCGATATCTGGGAAGACTGCGCCCCATCTGCCTCCCCGCCGACGCTGCCCATCCTCTTAAGCCGCTCATACAGGACCCACTGGATGGTGCCCTCGGCGACTCCGAGGTAGCTCGCGCTCATCCCTCGATATAGGCCCTTGATGCCCTCTGACCGGATGATTGCGGTCAGCATCTGAAACGAGTTGACTGCCGGCCTTGGCGGAGACGGCGCCGCTTTGAAAAAGGCTGCCTGTTTCGATGATGCGAGGGCTTGACTGGACCAGGCGCTTGAAGGATGGAGCTTTTGCGAGATTGCAGAGGTCGAGAGGCGTGCGTGCGAGGACGCCGACGTCGCACTCGGCCGACCGGCGCTGGCGCTGCGCTTCGGACCTACGGCAGCAGCCCGACTGGCCTTAAGTGCTTCTTCGAGCTGGTGGGATTCGAGCTGCAGCCGCGTTTTGACGACCCAAATCGGATTGGTGGCGGTCGCGGTAGTGATGCCAGCGATGGCTGCGGCACTGAGGTGCACGAAAGGCGTCTCGACGCCTCCGTTGAAGCGGTCCGCCAGCAGCCGCTTGCCATTGCCGTAAGTATAGAAGTTGATGGATCTGGCATCGGTACGGTGCACAAAAGAAGGGGTCAGCGTCGCTTGAGAGAGCAGCGACTATGCTCCGCGAGCAGTGGGGCGCGTATCTTTCGACCTACCTCGCCGGAATGACGCCAACCAGAGTCGGCCCAAGACCTTTGAAGAGGGCCCGTGGGCCCTCTTTGGTGGCGATTTCCTTGAGCAGATGCCCTGTTTCGACAAAGTGATAGGCCAGCTTCTTGGTCTGTCCGAGCACGCTGGAAGGCGCGGCGGCAGCCTTGATCGCTGCCTGCTTCTGAAACAGATCCGACTGCAGTCTCGTCTTGACCACGTCGAGCGGAGAGGTGATGATCGCGCCGCACATCCCACCGACGCTGAGATCGAGACAGAGGCAACCCCGAAGGATGAAAGGCGGACCGAGGGAGGAAGAAGAACGAGTCAGCCGGGTGGCGGAAGTCTACCCGAACCGAGAGGAAGATCAGTGGGTGGCTTGAGGTCCCACTCACCCTCCAGCCACAAAGTGCACCCAGCCTTTCGGCGGAACCAGCTTGTGCGAGACTGGTTGCCGATTCTGAGCGATGCTCAGGTCGACCTGGGCGCCGGCATCGCCATCCCCTGCGCGGCGCCGTAGCTCCGGTATGGAGATGGTCGATGGTTGTCCGGGCTTCTGTGCCGTGGCGGACGGTAGTACCGGTGCGATGGTTTCAGACTCTCCCTCGCCGGGAGAGGTGGTGCCGAGGTAGGGCATCTTGACGGAAGAATCCTAGCAGCCGGGTGAATACTGGACTCGCTGCAGCAAACGAGGTGCTGGATAGCTGGTTGGATGGTTGGATGGATGGATGGGGGGGAGGGGGTTATGTAGAAGCCGCCCTTGGCCGGAAGAACGTGCGTGTGGTTGCAGGCAGAGGGAGGGAGAGTCAGCAAGACGTGGAGCCAACCTGGTCCGCGTACGTGCGTTGGAACCTTACCACTGAAAACCGACCAGGCTCCAGCTGCCCCGAAAAAAACCTCCACGCGGGCCCGTCATCGCTCGGACCCGAGGGTGAGCCGATTTGGCCTGGCCTGGCTGCCACCAACCAGGCCTGCCGCAAATCACAGATCAACACGGGGTCTTTCCGTGCCTGCTGTTAACATGTAGCCCTACAAACCGCTTTCCTGGCCATTCTATAGCTCTTTCTGGGGGCATTCTCCAGCCCTACTCACCTTCCCTTGGCATTGCCTGCCTCATCTTGCCTTTGTGACATCATTCTTGCTCTCTTGCCTTGTCATATTAAGCAGCAAAGTTTGGGCCAGTTGATGCTATAGTCAGCCTACATTTCTCAGACTCATAGCTAGCATCAAAGTGTTACGACTGTGGGCAGGGAGGTGCCGCGTATTGGATCACCTGTTAGGGTGCGTGCAAGTTGGAACCGACGACAAACAACAAGTCTAGTTGTCTGGAACACCAAAGGACAGTATGGAGTCAACCGTAGGAGTCGAGTTGTTATTCCTGGACTCGGAACGGCTTCGGGGCCAGGTCGAGGGTAGACCGACAGACTAGTTGTCGGAGACGCAAGGCAGGCGACTGTAGTCGCTTGTAGAGATGTGGAAGAGTGTGTGAGGATAAGCTGAACCGATAGAAGGGGGTGAAGTGTGTAAGATTTGATAAAGAAGCGGTCCCATCGTCGACCAGAGGCTGGTCGTATATATACGCTACAACCTTGCGCTGCGGGTCACTATAGACCTCTAGAGCAGCAACCATGATCCTGTAGCTACGGGGGACCGTGCCGCTCCGTCTCTTTGGTCGAGTTGCTCGACTCGACCGTGAACCGCGGCTCTCTAGATAACTAGACGTGTCTATCTAAAGGGGTAGGAATGGAGGGGTAGGAATGAAGGGGGGGGTTGACCGTCGGTGAGGGGTAGCATCAGGGGTAGGAGCTGCTCCTTACGGCTACCTTTGCCTTACCTGACGGCTTGGGTCAGGACTCCGAGGAGTCGGACCCGGGAGGCGCATCCAGTGCTCTAGAGTGTCCCTTCTGATCGAATCGGTTTATCCTTTGCTTTTTTTGTGCGAGACGGCGAGGTGTTCCAACACTTGGCCGGTGTGTGTTGTCAGGACATCGTGTGGGCGGTGGCAGTGATTTGGCGTCGGTCGTGGCGGCAAGTTGGCGTCAATGGTGGCGGAAAGTTGGCGTCGATGGTGGCGGAAAGTTGGCGTCGATGGTGGCGGCGGCGAGTCAGCGTCGATTGTGGCAGCGAGTCAGCGTTGGCGGTGGCATCAATGTCAGCGTTGGTGGTGGCGTCAAGTTGGCCTTGGTGGCGTCGATGTTGAGGCTGGTTGGGCGGTGCAGGACTGAGCGCGACCGAGGCGGGACAAGTCAGCTGGTGCAGATGCCGGCAGGTGGCGTCCACGGCGGTTGGGTGGCGGCGGCAGGCCAAAAGGCCGATGGAAGTGGTCGGGAGGGAAGGAGTGACGGTGGAGCGGGGCAAGACTTTATACCGAGGCAGGCGGGCAGGTGAGGCCACGCTGGCGGGCGGTCAGGCAGGCAGGCTGCCTGCCTGCGTGAGCACACACGCACGCGAGCCTACGAGCCTGCGAGAGCACGCACGCAGGTGGCGGCGTGGCCTGGTCTCCATTTTTTTTTTGCGCACGCACAAGCTTAGTCATAGCTAGGGGCAGGCCTTGGGCTACGATTTCAGATATCGCAGATCTCGTACGATATGGCAGTGCCGTAGGAGATCGTTAATCCCCTACGGCACCCGGTGCCGTAGGAGGCCCTACGCATAGCTAGGGGCAAGAATTTTCCTACGATTTCGGAGATCGTAGATCTCGTACGATACAGCAGTGCCGTAGGAGATCGTTAATCCCCTACGGCATTGGGGTCGTAGGGGGCCTACGGCACAGTATGCATATATTGCTCTACGGCCCTCGACTCGCAGGCTGCTCTACGGCTTTTTGCACGTATATGAGCCTACGGCCAAAAAGCCGTAGAGAAGTGTACGATCAACAGGGGCCGTAGACCGCCCTACGGCACTCAACCTCCGTAGGCCGCCCTACGGCACTCAACCTCCGTAGGCCGCCCTACGGCACTCACTTGCCGCGGACAGCCCTACGGCAGTGGAATGCCGCAGACCGCCCTACGGCATTTGACTGCCGCAGACCGCCCTACGGCATTTGACTGCCGCAGACCGCCCTACGGCATTCGACTGCCGTCGATGAGCGTCGAGGACAGCAGGCCGTAGACCACGTACGCTAGTGCATTCGTACAACAGCCTTCGATTCGGGCTAGCGAAGCTAATCTACATATGTCGGGCCGTACTACATCTACGATAATGGTGGCGTGGACGAGGCAGCAGGGC